CTGTTCTGGTTCTAATTCTGACAAATAAGGTAGAGTTGATTCCTGATGGGAACCTTAGGGGGAACTGACCACTTGAGCTTTGAATCTGTGATAAAGAAGGAGAAGAAATTCAGGCATAATCTGACACATACCCTGGCTTTGGGGAGAGTAGATTTCAGAGACCAGAGGAAATACAGATTGGATCTCATGACCTGAAGTTCTCCAGAAAAAATGGCCTAACAGATGTGGGAATCTCTGAAGAGTGAAATTCCAACTACACAAACACAGATGACTCTGAAGAGGAAGAAAAGGGGGAGATGTCTAAAGAGAAACAATGGGGATGTACCAGGAAATCATCCATCAACTTAGATTTTTAAAAGGTGTATAGGAGATAGAAGTAAGTAATGAAGAATGATTATGGAAACAGGGAACAATGCTATAAGAATAGTATCAATAGTGCCAAAGAGTGAGTTGAGACTTAAATTATGTTGAAGACAAGTGGAAGATCGAAAAAAAGGATTGGGCCACCTCTCAGAGAGGATGGGATGATAACAATGGCCAAGAAAATGAAGAGCTACTTAACTGTTTCGTGATTCTGACATACTATGATTTTCTGGCCCTTCCAGCTCTAACATTCTACGATCTATGATTAGATGAAAAAGGCACCTGTTGTGGGATGTCTGGCTAAACCCCAAACATATCTCCCTGGGAGAGGTAGGGATTGCTATGTGTTTTGTTATCTTATGCCCAGGGCCTAGCACAATGTCTAGCTTAATAAATGCTTTTTTGGGAGGGGAACTGTGGAATGCAAAACTTTCACTATGAGTAATGCTACGTCATAAACTGCGTGCTATGATATTTTCAGGTATCCCTGGAACCAGTGACAAATCTCCCACTTACTTTATTATAAAAAACCAAACAAATCAAAGTATTTGTAACAAACACCTTCCAAAAGAAAAAAATATGACCCACTCAGGAATGTTTATGCCATGCTTCCAACAGATGGCTATATGTCCAGTTCAATTATGAGAAAGCATAGTTATACACCAAGATTTAAGTCAAGGATGAGGCTTATTGCCTTGGCATCACTTCTTCCAGGGGTTCAAATCACTGCTGCCTCTGGACCGTTGGCCTTTTGTCAAGCCACACATTGTGTCCGTTATCAAATGTGATTTTGGAAAGGGAAGATGGATGTCAACAGTTGAAAGGGGAGATAGTCAAGGAGGCAGTTCAACAACAGCATTATGAGAGAAGTGGCAACTAATTAAAAAGTGACTTGACTTTTCTGGGGTGCTCTGAGGTTTACAAAGTCGATCTTCACGTCAACCCTTGTGAGGAAGCACTATGTGCCCATTTTGCAGATGAAGAAACTGAGGCTCAGGGAGGTGAAAAGACTTTTCTATGGTCACGCAACTAGAGAGTATCAGGGATTTGAATGCTGCTTTTCCTAAATTTGATTTCAGTACGTCCTCCCCTCCTCTACTACCACAGGAAAAGTTGGAAGGATTTGGTGTAGGTGCTTATAAGACTGACCAATGCATAAATAATGCCTCACAAATGTCTCTTCCAATTTTGATCCATCCTCCAAACAGCCGCAAAAGTGATTTCCCCAAAGTACAGGTCACTCAATAAACTCCAATGTCTCTCTATTACCAAATATAAACTGGTTTTTAAAGTTCTTCAAAATCTGCTCCAAATTACCTTTGCAGACTTATTATATATTACTCCCCTCCCCACTCTCTGAAGTCTAACCTTTTTTACTGTTCCCTACATTAGGCACTCCATCTCTCATCTCAGTCCCTTTGCATTGGCTGAGCCCCATGCCGAGAATGCACGCCCACTCATCTCTGTCTATTTTGTATACACTCATATGTATAGATGTTGCCTCCTAATGATAGAATGTAAATTTCATGAGGGAGAGTTTGATTCATTATTGGATTTTATATCCCCACAGTCCAGTACAGCCCCTGGCATATAGAAGGTGGTTAGTAAATAACTAATCATTGATTATATGATTGCAGAAACCTTCATTAGAACCATTATGAACGACACACACTTTAAGCAGAATTCTCTTAAGTAATGTCTAGGGACAAATGCAAGATTTCTGGACCATCTAATTCTCTTCAACAAACATTAGTCTCCTCTCTTTGTATTTCTGGTATCTATAACTCACTCCTAGGGCAGTTGGCCTATCAATGCCCAGCTACCACCTTAAGAGAGAGCCTGGAATCCATCAGAGCCTGGAATAACAGTTTGATCATCTTGTTCCCTGATTGTTTCATGTGTAGTAAGTAGCCTTGTCTGCCCAAGGAAGCTGTTGGGGGTAAGGATCACATTTTATAATATATTAAAAAATACATAACCCTGTGCCCAATTTGTCTTACTCCCCACCCTCGAACAATATGCAGACATATATGCCAAATACGGATTAGACACCCAACGAATACTTGCCGACTGATGAATAGCAAAAATATCTGTGGTTCCGTCGGAATACACTGCCTTGATGAGGAGGGACAGAAGACTTCTTTCTACTATGAGGAAATAAAAGCTTCTTTTAAGATAAGGGGAAAGGAGATAGTCCAGGATATAGTCTATAGTCGGGCACTTTGAGGAGGAAAGCAGGAGCCTGGGCTGGCCTGCTGAAAGGGCATTCCTGCCTGATGGGGAAACTGCAGAACAAGGCCCCGAGGCAGCATGGTGTAAGTGGAGACAGCCCTGCCCTGGGACTTTAGCTAAGCCATGTGACCTTGGACAGGTCCCTTTTCTCTATGTCTCAATTCTCTCCTCTGTGAAATGGATATGGGACCTTTAAGGCCTCTTCTAATGCTAGTATTCTGGGTTCAAACTCGCTCACACTTGACTAGCTGATTGCAGACACCTTAATTAGAATCACAGTGGATGACACACACTTTAGAACTTTAAGCAGACTTCTCTTAATGCCCTATGAACCTACGCAAGGTTTCGTTCTAAGAATATCAGCATAGGGGCAGCTAGGTGGTGCAGTGGATAGAGCTCTGGCCTTGGGAGTCAGTAGGACCTGAGTTCAAATGTAGCCTCAGACACTTGACACTTACTAGCTGTGTGACCCTGGGCAAGTCACTTAACCCCATTGCCTAGCCAAAAAAAAAAAAAAAGAATATCAGCTCAATTCATTTCTCTTGGTCTCCTCTTTTGTGTTTTTGCTATCTATATATCACAGTTGCCCTACTGTAATAATCTTGCTCAGTTATTTCAGTTGTATCTTATTCTTTGTGACCCCTTTTGGGATTTTCTTGGCAAACATATCGGAGTGATTGTCATTTCCTTCTCCAGTTATTCTTACAGATGAGGAAACCGAAGCAAACAATAAAATATTAATTTACCAAAAAAGGAAGGTGACTTGCCCAGGGTCACACAGAAAAATTTGAACTCAGTTCTTCCTGATTCGAGGCCCGGTATTCAATCCACTGGGCCATCTAGCTGCCCTGTGACAATCTGTCATTAGTTTTTTTAAAAATGATTTTATTTTCCACAAAGGTTTTCTCTTTTATTTTCTTTCCCACATTTCCCTCTTGTGCTTCCGTTTTGGAGGGTACATGAAGCAGCGCACTGATTGATCGTATGTGTTGAGAAAGGAGGTTGTCAAGGGGCAACATGACTTTACTGGAGAGGGGGATGGCCTTGGAGTCAGGAAGACCTGAGTTCAAGTCCTTGCCTCGGACCCTGGCTGCATGACCCTTGGCATGCCAATTAACCTGGGTACCCCCAGGCTAGTGATTGCAGAGTTGGTGCTAACCTGCAGTGGCAGGTGTGAGCTCACCGGGAACTCTCTAGTCCGTAGCAAAATGATAGATCTGGTCCGCAGAACAAATATCCAAAAACATAAAACCAGAAGGTCGTCCCTGACCTCAGTTACTTGTTCTTGCCTCCACGGAAAAGGTTCTCTCCCTTTTCCGTGATGATGGATAGAGATTCACTGTGGGAGCAGGTGGGCTTTAAACTGGCTTTTTTCACAGTTGGTTAGTTGCACAGTCATTCATTCATTCATTCATTCATTCATTCATTCATTCATTCATACCTTCCACTGATGACCAATAAAATGTACTTGTAAAAGTTGCTTGGTCTAGAGGCAACTAGGTGGCACAGGATTTGGAGCACCAGCCCTGGAGTCAGGAGGACCTGGGTTCAAATCCAGTCTCAGACACTTATTAACTGTATGACCTTAGGCAAGTCACTTAATCCCAATTGCCTCCAAAAGAAAAAAAAGACAAGGAAAAGAAAGTGGCATGGTCTGCATTAGGAACATAGACTGAGGTCAAAGGACCAAAGAAAAGCTAGGTGATTCAGATCTTCCCCATGACTAGGCTCTGGCAAATGACCATTAAGAGGCAGGATGGGAGAGAGGCAGCGTGGCAAAATGATGAGAGAACCCATCCCAGAGTCGAGAAGACCTGGGCTCGAGTCCTGCCTCCAGCACTCACTGGCTGTGCAGCACTGGGCAAGTCACTCGCTGTCACAGCCTCCAAACTCTCGAAGCCTAGGAAGTTGCTGAGAAAGCACCGACCTGCATTCATCCACAGAGTTTCTGCATTTGGTGCCCCCTATACCAATGGAGTCATGGGCCTGCCCTTCTTTGCCCCCACAACATTTTATTTTTAAAGAAGCAGCACGGGAATTTCTCAGTATGGCTTGGTGGTTCTTTTTAAGGAAATGGCATTGTATGATGTCTTTCTTTCAGAGCCAGGGCTAATAATAGATCTTCCTATGAAAGATCTTAAAGGTCCAGGTATTTCTTATCAAAGCAGTTGTGAAAGGGACATACCTAAATTACTATGACCCTTCCTTCCTTCTCTCTCTTTCTTTCATTCCTCCCTTCCCTTTCTTTTTCTTTCCTCCCTTCTTCCTTCCCTCTCTTTCTTTTCTCTTTCCTTTCTTCCTTACTTCCTCTCTTTCTTTGTTTTCTTTTTCTTTTCTTCCTTCCTTTTCTTCCTCCCTCCTTCCCTTGCTTCTTTCTTCCTTTCTCTCTCTTTTTCTCTCTTTCCTTCCTCCTCCTTCCTTCCTCCCTCCCTTTCTTCTTTTTTTCTTCCTCCTTCCTTCCCCTCCTTTAGTTAGCCTTGCAAACCCTACTGGGAAGTGAGGTGCTTTTAATATTAAAAAAGGAAAAAATTAAAGAAAGAGGTTGTTTGGAATTTCTTCTCATTGCTGGCAAGGCTTAGAAACAGTTCTGAGATGATGCATAGAGACCAGAGAATGAAAAGGATGAGAAACGGCCCAGCCTCATTTCCTTACGCACCTTAGAGGGATCCTTCTGCAATTACCTAGACATGATGCTGGATGGTTTTTAAAGGCATCAGGTGAATGTCACCTCAGCTTGTTTATCTGCCTACAATGAATGTGTGTGTATGTGTGTGTGTGCGCGCGCGTGTGTGCTTAATCCAGATCTTCTCTCTGGGTCCCTGACAAGTGCTCAGCTAACATTACTGAATAAAATGGATTTGTTCAGCGTGAATTCTAATCAAGACCCAAACTTTATAATAGAAGGAAAGGAGCTGTGTGAGAATCAGGAAGGAGGCAGTCAAGCACAGATAGAGGAATGTTTTTCCTCATTGCAATTCAAAAGCCTGAAATGGAATCTGACTGCTTGGTCAATTCTTGCTCAGTCGGCTAGCAACCATAAAGGAGAAAACACTATTAAAAAAAAAATACCAAAACCCATGTATACAAAATAAATGTTTTTTCCCCCTGGACTTGGAAATGCTGCTCTGTCAGCTTCTAGCTCTAAGTGGCAACAATTCTCTTTTTAAGAAAGAGTATGAGTTATATAGTTCAGAGAAGACTGGGGAGGGAGGGAAGAAGAGACAGAGATTAACCAGCGAGCTAATAAAGAAGGTGTAGAATGAAGGGATAATTTGACATTGGTTAACAGGTCAGCAACTCTGAAGTTGCGAAGCAAGAATCAAGATCCTTCTTCCATTTAAAGGATAACAAACAGCAAGAAATTAAGTCTTAAAACATACAACCCTCCCTTCCATCTCCTCTTCCTCAGCTGAACCAGACCACTCTGTATGACGTTTAATACCCCACAGAAGAGCTAACGTGGTGTCTCTCTTCTACTGCCTATTACTGCTGTGTAAGCTTGGCCTCTCTGAGCTAGGGTTTCCTCACCTGTATTTTTTTAAAAACGGGGAAGGTAATCCTTGACCTGTACACCTCCAAGACCTACCTGTTTGTGAGGATCAAATGGGGTACTGGAAATGGAAACTCATTTTGTAAAGTGTAAAGCACTATACAAATAATAAGGCAATTTTAAGGCATTAGTTGACCCAGAAGAAGAGAGTTTAATCTTCTCTGTGATGCTTCTGTGATTAGTTTTTAGAGCTGGTCTCAGATTTAAGGAATATATATATAAAAAAAAGAAGGGGAAGAAAGACAATTTCATTCAACACAGGTCCCTTGGAAGGCAGCTGTTTGGGGGAACAAAGTTCTGCCAAGGGCCAAGCCCGTAGATGATGCCAAACTGCCACCAATGTTACGGAGCCGTTGTCAAGGCCTCGCAGGGCAGACAGTTCCGCTCTGTTTGCTTGGTCTCTTTGATGACAACTCCTTCTGTCCTTTGCCCTCTACTTGGCTTCCAGTGTCCAGAGCTTCTCTCTATCTATCTATCCCCGCTTGTTTCTGCCAGCCTGTTGTTCATAATTGCCAGAGCTCCCACCCCTCCTGAAAATCCTTTGTGTCTGGCTGACACATTGGCCTGTCGAGGACATCCATTGGCTGTCTCTGACAGCTGCTTCTGTAGTATGGCTAATGAGACCTTGTTGGAGGCTAGGAAGTCCTTCATGGAGATCATCTCTCCTGAGAGACGACGCCCATCTGTTTCACTCTCGATCACGCCATCTGTCTCAATGGAGATTTCTTGCCCACTCCGCACATTGCTGGGAGTTACCACATTTCTCCGTAAGAGTAAGGCTTTTCTTTGGCACTGGCAATAGTGGCATTCCATTTTCTTCAAGATCCAGTTGATGGACTGCTTGATGAGGATGGAGATCACATTGAACAAGGAATAAATGCAGCAGACCCCCATGAGGATGAAGACAAAGTTGCCAAAGCGATAGAGCCCTTGGCTCTCATACTGGGCATTCTGGCTACTGACAAGGTCGCCAAAGCCGATGGTGCTGAAGGCCACAAAGCAGAAATAAAGAGAATCGAAGTAGCTCCAGCCTTCAATGGGTGTGTACATGGCCGAGGCACAGCAGGAGATGATGAGGGAGGCCATGCACAGGATCAGCATGACATAATACACTGAGGGCTTCCATCCCACCATGCTGTCTGCCTCGGAAGTTCCAGAGCTTCTCTGGTTATCAGATTGCAGCACCCCCTTCTTTCTGAGCTGCCTTTCATGGCATGACTTCATGATGAAGGCGATGACTGTAATCAGACGCTCTAAGAAGAGGTTGAAGAACAAGATGGTGCCCGCACATCCAATGAGACCATAAAATATCAGAAAAACTTTGCCTCCCACAGTTGCTGGTGTTGTCATGCCAAAACCTGGAAGAGACAAAAAGGAGGAGAGGAGTAAATGCAAAAGGGCCTTGGCATGTATGGGATCAAGGTCTTAGTTTTGATAGACTGACAAAAGAGCAGAAGGAAAATTACCTAAAAAAATGACTCCAATTCTTTCTACAAAGAAATTCCCATTGTATTACTAAATGAGGCAAAATAATATGACAGTGATAACAATTGACATTGGCACCCTTAGATTTGCAAAGTACCTGACAAATATTATCTTATCTGGTCTTCAAAACAGCTCTGTGAATTGTGTCCCCTAATTATTATAGTATCCCCAATTTACAGATGAGGAAAGTGAGGCTCAGAGGGGTTAACTGATGTATCTACAATTATACACAAAGTGTTACAAGGAGGATGGAAATGCTTCACATCCCATCCTGCCACCATTCAAGACATGAGGACTCATTTAGTGAAGGCATTTTATCAACTCTTGACTCTAACTTGAGCATGCTCTCTACTGTATAACACTATCTCTAATGTGTAATGGAAAAGAACATGGAAACCTGGAACCAGGAAAACTGAGTTCTGGGCCTGGTGTCACCTACTTGTGTAGGCCTTAAGCATTTTACTTCCCATTAGAATGCAAGCTCCATGAAAGGAGAGATTGTTTCATTCTTTGTATCCATTGCTCCTCCTCATTCCTAGCACAGTTCGAGGCAATTAATAAATCATCGATTGATTAAGTCTTGGTTTCCTCAATCTATAAACTTTGGGGTTGGACAAGATAATATCTTATGTGCCTTCTAGCTCTAATATTAATGATAGTTCATAAGACAATAAAGTTGTTTCTAGATAGAAAGTCTACTACTTTTTTAAAATACTGATATAATGTCCCTCCTACATCCCCAGGTCAAGTCCAAGACCATCAGTGCTAGGGCAATGCTGGGGAAAACTCATTCATATTATCATCTCTCCAGCTAGCATACCACACTTTCCCAAACCAACTGCTTAATCCAAAGTTCCAGAGGTCATTTCTCTAGGTCCCAATCAACAAGGAGACCAAACCTCAGTGACATAGCTGATTCTGTAATCTGGACAAGTGGGTTGCCCCAGGAGGAGCCAAGGAACTGACCTACTGGACAAGTTTAATGAATCACTAATCAATTTTCTAACTCAATTAAATTCTCTTTCCCTAAGAATACAAACAACACTCTATAGAATAACACACACACACACACACACACACACACACACACACACTTATTCATAGCTGCATTTGGAAAAGGAAATGAATAGGATATAATTAAGAGATGGAAGTAGGTGGCTTAACCCAATTTAACAATTCAGGAATGTCCAGGTAAGATGGCCACATCAAGTGACTGGATGGGACCAGGACAGTGGAAGAAGATGGAGGTAAGCACTGGGAAAGAAATCATGTTTATTTTGCAGCCATAACTTCTAAAAGGTGGGTGTATTATCATGGCCATCTTTTCTTTTTCAATTGTTATTTTTGAATAATAAGTATGTGTATCTTAGCTCAGTGATCTTCACTGTTTATTATTCACAGGAAGCACAGTAATATTAACATGAACTAGTGCTTACGGTTAGCCCTTAAATTCTCCCACTATAGGTCAGGTTAGACTGAGATACACAAAGTGGAAGACATGACAATGAATGAATGGGTGCATGGGTGGGTGAAAATACATTTATTAAGTGCTCACTGTATGCTAAGCACTATGCTAAAGGCTAGGAATACAAATGGAAAAACAAGACAGTCCTTGCTGTCATGGAGCTCAGATTCTAATTGAAGGAGACCACATACACGGGAGAATTTGGTAGCAGGGTGGATGGAAGGGCTTGTCCTAAGGGCACAGCTCCATAATAGATGGCAAAGTCCAGACATGCTTAGGGTTCATTGAGAAGTATCAAAGTGATTTTGATCAATGCAATGGAGGTGTACTATTTTCTCACTGGAAGAACTTGGGAGTTATAAAATAATCAGTCATGTCCATAGGATGTGTCATCTCCTTGAATGTAAGCTCCAAGGGGGAAAGACATTCTTAATGCATTATCACATATTATAGTTATCTATGTGTGTTTGTCTCTTGTCCTTTCACTACACTATAAACTCTATAAGGGCAGGGAATATTTTTGTTGTCATATAGCTGTTTCTGACTCCTTGTGATCCCATTTGGGATTTTCTTGGCAAAGATACTGGAATGGCTTGCCATTGTCTTCTCCAGTATGTCCCCATTTTACAGATGAGGAAACAGGCAAACAAGGTTAAGTGACTTGCCCAGGGTCACACAGCTAGTAAGTGTCTGAGACTGGATTTGAACTCAGGTCTTCCTGAGTCCAGGCCCGGCACTGTATTCACTGCATCACCTAGCAAGGAACATAGCTTACTATTATTACTGAGCAACTGTGATGTGTAAGGCATTGTGAGGGATTTAAATAGGACCTTCTCCTCTAATAGGGGAGGTATTATTAGTTAAAATTATTATTATAAATTAGCAGTAATATTAATTTGGAGACAGAATTCCAAATGACCTTTGAATGCAATCTCTTCCAGGAAATCATTCTGATTTTTCCCTAGACACTAGTCAGAAATTTCCTCATGAATTTTATGGAGTATTTTGTACCTTTTATACAAGTATCCTGTATTATTTCATATGAATATTATTTGTATACATATCATATGTCCTTACTACTCTGAAACATATGGCAGAGAATGTACCTTATCTAAAATTTATATGTCTCCTCACATCTAACATAGTGCTCTGCACACAGTGAGTATTTAATAAATGCTTGTCAATGAATAAAATTTTGAAAGCTGTTTTATTCATAGATTAATAGATTGGTGATAGATGAAGGAAAGTTAAAAACCATCTAATCTGATGCCTTCATTTTACAGGTGATGAAACTGAAGCCTGGAGATTTGTTCAAGGTCTCACTTACTAAGATATGCTGAGATTAGAACCCAGATCTCCTGACTCCTACCAGTTCAGAGCTCTTTCTACTATCCTGTTAATCAGCAAAAATTAAGTAAGCACCTGGTATGTTCTAGGTACTATGCTAGATGCTATGGATACAGATGTCAAAGTAAACTGTCCTTCCCTCAGAGAGCTTACCTTCTACTAAAGGGATACAGCATGTTTAAAGATATATTAAACACAAGATATACACAAAATAAAAATACACCCATGGTGAGTGCGTGGGGAGCAAACCTCCTATGTGCACAAGTAATTTCATTCTATCCCATCTTCTCCATCCAATTGCTCCCTCTATCATCCCCACTCTACTTATCTTCAATCCCTCCCTGTCTATTGACTGCTTCCCAATTGCCTAAAAATATACCCACATTTCCCCCATCCTCAAAAAAACATCACTTGATTTGTCTATCCTGTCCAGCTATCATCCTTGATCTTTTCTCCATTTTGTGGCTAACTTCCTTGAGAAGGCTGTCTGCAATAGATGCCTCTACTTCCTCTCATTCTTTTCTTAACTCTTTGTAGTCTGGTTTCCAACCTTATCGTTCAACTGAAATGGCTTTCTCCAAAATTTCAAATGATCTCTTAATTGCCAATATATTGCCAGTCTTGGCCTTTTCCCAATCATCATCCTTTCTGACATCTCTGCGTCCTTTGACAATGTCAACCATTTTCTTCCTGATACTCTCTTATCTTAGATTTTTTGACAATGCTTTTGTCTGATTCTTCTCCTAACTATATGACTGCTCCTTCTCTGTCTCCTTTGCTGGATCTTCATCCACACCACACTGGCTAATCAGGGGTGTCCCCCAAGGCTTTGACCTGGTTCTTCTTTTATTTTTCATCCGTAATATTTCACATGTTGATCTCATCAGCTCTCATGGTTTCAATTATCATGTCTATGCAGATGATTCTCAGATCTACTTGTCCAATCCTAGCCTCTCTCCTGAACTTTAATCTTGCATTTCCAACTGCCTTTCTTACATTTCCAACTGGATGTCCTCGACAGGTCCAAAACTGAACTTACACCCCTCCCCCCAACTCTTTCCTCTTCCTAACTTTCCAATTACTATTGAGAGTACCGCCATCCACCCAGTCCCCCAAGCTTGAAACCAAGGGACTCTTCACTCTCTCCCTCCATATTCAATCAGTCGTTAAATCTTCTTGTTTCTGCCTTCATAACATCTCTCCTGAATACCTTTTCCCTTCCCTCTTCTGATACTGCCACAACCCCAAGGCTGGCCCTTATCACTTCCTGCTTAGACTACTGCAATAGCCTGCTGGTTGGTCTCCCTGCCCCGAGTCTCTCTTCACTCCAGTCCTTCCTCCAGTCAACTGTCAAAATTATTTCCATAAAGCACAAGTCTGACCGTTTCATATACGCTCTCATTTAATAAACTCCAATGACTACTAATTACTCTAAGATCAAATATAAGAGCCTTTGTTAGGCTTCCACAGCCTTTCATAACCTGTCCCCTTCCTACTTTACCTAATTTTCTTACAAGTTATTTCCCTTCATATACTCTGCAATCTGGTCACACTGACCTCCTTGCTTTTCTTCATAATAAGACACTCCATCTCCCAACTTTAAGCATTTTCATCGACTGTCCCCCATGCCTGGAACACCCTCTTTCCTCATGTCTACCTCCTAGCTTCCCTGGCTTCATTTAAATCATAATTAAAGTCTCATTTTCTGTAAGATGCCTTTCCCAATTCTCCTTAATCTTAGTCCCTTCCTTCTGAAATTACTCCCAATTTATCCCGAATATGCTTGCCTGCTGTTTGGTTTCATACCCTGGCGGACAGTTTTGGTTCTTCTGAGTAAAATGTTACTCTGAACATTTGATAAAAATTACACAATTTACCATAGCAGCCCTGAAGAGCCTTGGTACAGATGATTATGTTATTGGAGAAGATGCTATTTAGAAAACAAAATGGAAAAGAGAGTTTTAATTCCTTTGGTGCTTTGGAGAAAAATGCCCTTCAGTATGGTACAATGGAAAATGCGCTGAATTTGGAATCAGAGGACCTTGATTCAAATGCCAGCTC